TCATTTTCACAGACTCTGTCCGTTTAAGCCTAAAAAAACAATAAAGTTGGATCATCTATCTCCTACCTCTTTTAATCAGCATTATTTTTTTAGTCAGAACATTAAATATGAGCATGTTAGCGCTAACCTTTAGATTATTTAATATATTATCTCATTAACACATTTATACTAATATAAATCTAATTTTAATATATATATTTATTCATTGATATAAGAGAAAATAACAGTTTTACTTATTATTGTTCATCATATATTATTTAATTATTATTTTATTATAAACTTTGTTATCATATAATGTCATTATTTATTATAAAAGTTGTAGAAGCAGTACCTCTTATTTTTCTTTTTATTTTATGTAATAAAAAATATTTAATGCATGTTAGTATTATTTATTTATGCAATAAATTTAAATTATGTAAATTGATTTTAAATTAACTAGTGTATAAATATTTTACAAAATATACACACACATATTTTTAGAATTTAATTTTATATACTAATTAAACAACCTAGATTTTGCAAATGCCAAAAACTAAATCCCTTATATAATGAAGAGATTTTTCTAATTTGCAATGAAAATATATTTTACAATAATTTCATTATAGCAAGAAATCAAAATAAAAAAATTATAAAAAAAAATTAAACATGGTTGACAATAATATACAAATAAATTTTAAATAAAGATTAATATATTTTAATTTTATTTTTTGACCATTAGTAAAACTATTTAATTTATCTGGCCATTATCTCCATTATCTCTTAAATGGTAAATTATATTAATTTGAAGAATAACTTATTTATATATATAATGAAATAAAGCTTAAGAAAAAATTATATTGGCAAAGATTAATTCACCAACTTGATTTTTTCTAATTAATTGGAAGTAAAAATTATACCTAACATGTTAAATTTTTCTATAAATATTTTAAGATAAAAAGTTAATATTTTTGGAAAAAAATAATATTATGGTTTTTTTTTCCCAAAAAGATATAGATATGTATTAACTCAAATCAATAGGTTCCAATACAAACTAAGACACCGAAACTGAAGACTGAGAGGACACGCAACATTGCGGCCTAAAACCTCAACAAAGAAGGAAAGGAACTAAAAATGATCTTCCTCTGCAAATGCCTAGATGATCAAAGTCTAAAAGCAAAGACAAACAGTACAGACTGAACCCATATTATACAAACACAGACTGAACAAACCCAGACATAATAAAATTAGACTAATCTTGAAGCTGAGCAAACATCATCCAATCTTTGGGAGCCATTTTAACAAGCAAGTGAGTTGGCAGTTTTGTGTTCTGAAAGATCCATAAATTCCTGCACTTCCATAGCCACCAAAGCATGTAAGTGGTTAGATTAATCCAGGCTTGGGAAGTTGCAGAGTTGTTCAGTGCACTCAAGTGAGACCACTAGCTTCTGATGGAGTTTGTGTAAGATTGCAGACCATCCTAAGAAACAAGTGAGATATCCCAAAGTCTGGTGGCTTTATCACATTGGAACAGAACATGCTCAATTGTCTCAGGTGCCAATCCACAACAATCACATATAACATCTAAATCCAAACCTTTTTTCTTCAGATGGTATTTAACAGGCAAGGTACCAGTTAAGCACTTTCAAATGAAGTGTTTAAGTTTGCCTTGAACTTGAAGCTTCTAACATTTATCAAAAATGAAAATTCTAGTACCTGATGAGTGGCTGCTGCAAGGGACATCGAGGGAGATAATCTTCTGCTTATTCAAATATGCATAGGTGCTGGATACTGAAAAATGCCTTTGCTGTCAAAGGACCAGTATCTCCTATCTTCCCTCCCAGGCTTAAGAGTATAAATTTTAAAAATAGCCTACCTATCCACTTCATCAAAGAGCTGAGAAACAAGCCAATTGTTCCAACCAGTACCTGTGTCATTGAGAAGCTCTTTAACCCAGATAATATGGCCTTTAGCAATATCCAGGAAAGTGAGTTTGGGCTTCTACAGGTTTGGGACCCAGTTCACATCTGCCAGTCTTGTGTTAATTCCTGATCTGATTTCCACAGCCACACCTTTGGCAAAAATAGGAAGCACCTCCAACCAGTTGGACCAAATCCAAGAGCAGTTTGAGGGTTTGCTGGCTTCAAATAATGAGCAGTGAGGAAAATACCTATCTTTTAGAATTCTGCTCACTAATAGGTTGGGTTGAGTGTAGACTCTCCAGAGTTGTTTGCATATGAGGGCAGTGTTGAAGTTTCTAATGTCAAGAAAGCCCAGTAATCCACATTCTTTTGGCAATGAGAGAGCAGACCATGATTTCCAATGAAGTCCTTGTGATTGTTGCTCACCCTTACTCCACCAGAAGTCTGAACAGAGTTTACAGATTGCAGTACAAAGAGTGGAGGGAAGCCTAAAGCAGGACATGGAGAATAAAGGCAATGCTTGGAGAACAGATTTTATTAGAACTTCTTTCCCAGCTGGAGATAACAACTTGGATTTCCAGTTCATGATCTTAGATTTCACTGAGTCAACGACATACTGAAATGCTTTCAGTTTGGATCTTCCAATGCCAAGTGGGAGCCCTAAATATCTTGTTGACCTATGAGAAGAAATCCCATGAAGAGTGGAACAGATGTTGGGTTGAAGAGTTGCTGGAGAGTTCTTACTGAAAAAAATAGCAGACTTCTGAAGATTTACAGATTGCCCAGTGAACAATCTATATTTTTCCAGCAAGTTCAAAAGAAGTCCAGTCTTCTCAACAGTTGCTTTACAAAAAAATAGTGAGTCATCTGCAAATAATAAATGGGACAAAGGGGATCCATTCTTTGAGAGTTTCATACCAAGCAGTTGACTAGAGTTGATAGAAGTAGAGACAAGAGCAGACAATAGTTCAGCAACAATTATAAACAGATAAAGGGACAGTGGGTCCCCTTGTCTGATACCTCTAGTGGGATGAACAAAGCCATTGATAATGCCATTAACTTTGAATGAGTAAGAACAAGAGGTAACACAAATCAAAAGGAGATTCACATACTCCTGGCAAAACACCATCTGAAGCATGATTTTTTTTATGCACAACCATTCCACTCAGTCAAAGGCTTTAACAAGGTCAAGTTTAAGAGCCATGGAGTGATTCTTACCAGTGGAGTTTCTGTTTAGAAAGTGAAATGCCTCCTGAGAAATAATAACATTATCCAACAATTGTCTGTCCTTCATGAAGGTAGACTGAAAATCACTAATACAGGCAGATAGACAAGATTTCAATTTGAGAGCAAGAATTTTAGACAAAACTTTGTACACCACAGTGCACAAGCCGATGGATCTGTACTGGGATATGTATTCAGAATTTATGCAATTGGGAATTAATGTGACTATAGTGTGGTTCCAGTATTTGAGCAAAAGACCACTGTCAAAGAAGCTTTTAATAGCAACAATCAGATCTATCTTAATAATACTCCAAAAGTTTTTATAGAATGTAGCAGTCATACCATCTTCACCCGGGGTTTTATCTGGTCAAGGCTGAATAGAGCTTCATGGATTTCTTCCTCCAGCACTGGTTGATAAGAGCTTGATTCATGTCAGAGGTGATTGTGGTAGAAATCAGATGACCCCCCCCCCCCCATGAGCCTTCTGATGAGAAAAGAGTAGAGTAGAAGCTGGCAATGTGATTTTGAATATGTTTAGGTGTTGAACATACTCCATTTTGGCTTGTCAGAAGTCTTGTGATAGCATTTTGCCTTATTCTCTGAAGATTGTAAGCATGAAAAAATCTTGTGTTGCTATCACCAGCCTTTAGCCACTACACCTTTGTTTTTGGTGCCAATACAATTCCTCATACTTGTGAGCTCTTTCTAATTCAGCCTTTGTGGACTCCCATGCTTCCCAAGTATCAGCCCCTAAATTTGGCTTCATATGCTCCAGTGATGCAGTTAATTTGTTGATCTTGGCCTGGTTCTGGGACTGAAATTTAGAACTCCAAATGAGAAGAGCTAGCCTTGTATTTTTTATTTTCTCCTTCAGCTGGTAAAAGGGTGTTCCCATACGAGGCTTTTTCCAAGCTTCAGTGACCACCTCTACAATGTCATCCCTCTGGAGCCACCTTTTATCAGAGTGGAATCTTCTGACAATCTTATCTTTGATGACCCCAGTGTTAAGCAGTAAAAGAGAGTGATCAGAAGCACTCCTAACAATGCAAGAAATGGAAGCATTGGGGAATGCTTGTAACCAGTCCACTGACCCAAACCCTCTATCCAATTTTTCATGAATGAGACCCTCTGAAACTCTGAGATTGCACCATGTGTACTTGGATCCAAACATTTTGATTTTCTCCATACCCATGTTGTTTATGAAGTCATTAAAACCAGCCATGCTTCTAGTGGTTCTAGGAATTCCTTCAACTTTATCTGAGTTGAGACAGATGCCATTCCAATCACTTATAGTGAACCATTTAGATCCCCATTTAGATTTTTCTGATTCCAATTGTTGCCATTGGTCAATCCTGATGGAAGAGTAAGGACTGAGATAGATGAATATACCCCAGTTGAGATCACCATTTTGATAGGAATAGTGCACGACAATGAAGAAGTCTTTGCAAATGAGCTGAGAGATTTGAATATCATTGTCCCAAAGGAGTAAAAGACCACCACTTTTCCCTTGAGGGTCAACCACTGAACCCCAGTTTCTTGACTACTGAATGAACAAAATGTGAAGCTTTCCTTGTTTTTGAGAGGAAAAAGAAAGCTGGGTGGTGAGATCTAAAAATCTCTTTGATTTGGGAAACTATAGAGGGCCCACCCAACCCTCTACAGTTCCACACCGCAGTTAACATTTATCACTTGGGTGCCATTCTAAGCTGGCCACCCCCACCTCTTGAGAAGATATCTTTTTCTTTTTTGCTTTCTTACTTGGAACATGTTCTGCTTGTTCTGGAATATTGATTTCTGGTTCTGGTTGTGGTCTTTTGTCAATCACAAGTGCTGAAGATATTTTGTGAATAGAGACACAACTCTGCCTTAGAAGTCTACCTTCTGAGGATCTTTTCCATGTCTTGGGCTGGAGTGGCTGATGTACTGTCATTTGAAGGTCCATACATGGTGGTTGGGACTCAATCTTCTGAACAACATATTCTTCAACTTCCATTATGAGGGAGAGATCACAAGGTTCATTTGGGGGAGTAGGTTGCTTAATCGCTGCAGGATGAGCAGTTGATATTTCTTGGGATAGTGGTTGAGAGAAGTTAGACCCCTGAATTTCTGGTTGAGTTTGTTGAGATGATTCCTCTGGGATAACAAGGAGTTGATTATTTTCTTCCATTTGACTGGTTGAGGTTTGTAAGACGGGATTGGTGTATTGGGTTATGAGGTGAATCAGATTGGTTAGGTTTTGAGCCAGATAAACTTGTTTCTGACCAATGAGAGCCTTCAGGAGCTCTCATCAATCACCAAAATTGTCCCTCCCTTAGGTTATTATTCTTGATTGCCTCTAATTTCTTGGTGCAACTTCTATCAAGATGTCCAATGAAAACCACAGTAGTGACACATGTTGATGAGCTTTTCATATTTAAAACTGACACTAATAGTTTGATCTCCCAACCTGATATTGGCACATCTAGGATGAGCTTCATTGAGGTTCACAGATACTAACAATCAGAGAATTTTACCTCCATGACTGCCAGCTCCAACTACCACAACATTATTGACTGTATGAAATACCTTACCTATCTTGAGTCCCACTTCTGCATTGATCCAGTTTAATGGAACATCGAAGACTTGTACCCAGATAGACAACTCTTGAAATATGGGGTGAGATGGAGAGAGGCCCACTTGCCAATCAGTGAGGAGCAGGAATTGGTTATCAATACTCCAATTAGTGCAACACTATCCTTGTCTTCCTTGCTTTGGAAAATGAACTGAAAGTAGTCGGTTCCTATTTCTTTCTCTTCCATTGAGTGTCGAAGCCTCCAAATGTGGCCCATAGCTCTTTTGACTCTGATCCAGCTAACTAATCTATCTCCAATAATCTTACCAAATAAACTGCGTTGGCATTGTTCATCACTGAGGCGTGTGCGATGTCAATGAGCAAAGTCTCTCTGTTGGACAGGGAAAAATTCTTGAGGCGATGGGAAAGATCCTCATCTTGCCCGATGCAAGATTGGGTGCCCAGAAATCCCTAACCCTAATAGTGGATTAGAAAAATAACGCTACCAGACTGAAGAAATTGGAAAACAATAGAACGATCACTTAGAAAATCAAACAGGACTTGGAAAACTCAGAATCAAGAGGAAATTCCGATCGAAAGAACCGCTCCCCTCAGAGAGAATATAAACGCTCCCCTCAGAGAGAATTAATAATATTATGGTTATAACTTAAAATATGTATTCATCTTTATGTTGATCATAATATTATCAACATGAATCACGAAAAATCAATCTTCTAGTTTATTATAATGGGATCAATGAAATTATTGCAAATATTAATAAAACTAGTATTCGTTACTGTGCACATGCACAAACATTTAAATTATTATAAATTATATGTATATATATAATATTAAAATATCATAAGTTAGATAATAGTATCACATTTTAAAAGTTTTGTTATTAGAAAAAAAGAACATTAAAATTATTCAATTTGATCACTATATTGATTGTATAATATAAAATGGATAACTTAGTTTTTATAAATTTGAGAGATCCTGGCCTATTAGTTCTCTTAGAAATTATTATTATTATTCCTGAATTTTTAAGAGGCTTGCTTATAGCACTAAAGCCAATTGGGTTATTAAAAAATGCTTAAGAGCAATAAATAGTTTAAGAACAAATTTGCCAATATAATTTTTTATACTTATTGAACTTCCATATATCATTTAGTGTGAATTATAATTGGTTAGTTTAGTAATTACTATTATATAATAGAATATTAAACACATGATTACAATTTAATTAACCATTATTAAAAAAGTCATTGATTAAGTTTCAGTTACCATTTAAAAGAAAAAATTATTGGATTGTAACGGAAAAATGTGGAAAATTCAAATAGGTTTATTAAATTTTTTGTTAACAATTATATATATGGATCAAATATTTATTGATTAGTGAGTTGTTTAAGGTTTTAATTAAAAAAAATTAATATATAGTAAACTTATTTTTGTAACCTTTTTGGAGGGAAAATAAATGAGGTTTTATTAATTTTTGGTAGCAATTATATATATAGATTATTTCGGGAAACAATATTTTTTATCATATATGATTTGAACTTATTTGAAAAGTGTATATGGAAGCAACTAATGCATGTATTTAGAAAGCTTCTAAAAAAGATATGTATTAAATACTCTCAAAAATTTTGGCTACTATTTTTAGTAAATAGTTATTCTCTTTATATATATATATATATATAGAGAGAGAGAGAGAGAGAGAGAAAGGATCATATGAGAAAGAAATAAGAATAATTGTAGGCCATTAGATTCATCAAGTCAATGACAATGATTAGGTTAAATAATAATAATGACAGTCAAACATGGGATGGCAGTACAGTAAATAAATAAAAATGTTAGGGGTAAATGTATATAATTAACCATTAAATAAGGACAAAAAGGACCTTTCCCTCTCCACTCATCCATCCATGTGGGCCCCACCCGTCTCACCAACCCTCACCCTCTTTCACACACAAACACACACTCTTCCTCTCAATAAGCATGCGCACGAACAGATAACACAGTACACAAAATAGCTCCGCCGGAGCTCATTCATTCCGCCGCCGGCTGCCATCAGTTTCACCGCCAATATCGGCGCCGCCTTCTTCCATCTATTTCTACGTCCACCATCATCCCTTCGGCTGCGCAGGAGGTCTAGATGCCGTCGTGTATGTCGCCGTAAATGATGCCCGACTCACGAGCGCCGCCGTCTTTTGTTAAAGCCGACTTCGAACGCCGCAGGCAGGTTCTCGTGCGTCTCCCTCTTGCGACTCTTTGATCTGCAATCTGAGTTTTGGGGCTCGGTGCCATTGTTGATTTTGGTTCCATTTGGTTCACTTGAAGTTTCTGTCACCGGGCGAGGATCTTCTCCGGCGACGTAGAATCGGACGGCGGGATGAACAGTGGCGGGGTGGCTCGTGGATGAAGGTGTTGTTGCAGCAAATATAATTTCAATTTTTGGACCTTCAAATTGAAAATTTGATAACTAATAAGGGCTTAGTTGCAATTCTAGAAAGTTTGGTATATTGCAATTTGGTTTACGGGACAAATGTGTAATTTATAATAAATATATCAAAATGCACAATAATAATAATAAAAGTACACAATACTAAGTGTATATATGCATATTTATTTAAAAAAGTAAAAACAAATAATTAGTATTATTTTTTCATAAAAAATATAAATTAAAAAATAAAGCTCTGTAATACTCTTAATATAGTTCGGCATGTTATATTATTTTGTCTATTTAAAACAACTAAATTCGACATTTAACCAACTAATATTATTCGATCGATTAGCAGATTTACTCTATTTTGGGTATGTGTAGCGTGTCATTTTATAAGGTGCAACCTGTTATGTTATAAAGTGCAATGTATTGATGTATAAAATGCAATGCATTGATCTATAAAGTGCAGTAATAAATTCGGTACGTTAGCACGTTTGTGTTTTTTTGTGGATATACGATATGCCGGATATTAAAGTATTATTGTAGATTCGTTTTTAAGATTTATATTGCGTAATATTTTGGCGGTAGCTGTTTGACATTAATTGTGGTGTGTGATGACAAAGTGCAACGCGTTTGTTTTATAAAGTGCAATGGGTTGTTTTATAAAGTGCATTAATCTATACATTTTCTAATTTTCCAAAATAATTTTTTATGTATTCGAAAACTAGTTTTAATAGATATAATTGTACATATATCGAATTAACCTAAATAATTAAATTATATTTTTATTTATTATTTTATATCATATAATTTATTTATTATCAAATTTTTTTTTATATTATTTTAATGTAATGCCCCATTCGTTTTAGATGAGTCAACGTATTTTAGGATTTTCGACTCGTTTATATTTTAAGTTATTTTGCTCGGCGAAAATCCTTGTTCCAGCTCATGCGGATTGCTTAGAAATGTTCGTCTAAATGATCCTTCGTGTCGATCGTTTTCGTAGGCATTATCGTCTACCTGTATTATTTTCAAACTTAGAGCCGACACCTAGGATGTGTCGATTGATTAATATGGCTCCACGTAACTAATCCAACTTGAAGATTTATATATTATATTCGTCGCAGATAGAATGTACACCCATTGTTGCCAATTTTAAATCGTTCGTCGATTATTGAGATAGACCGTTCGTGCAAGCCGCTCGAATAATTTTATTTCTCGTCAGCCATCTATCGTTCGCTCGTCGCCGTTTGAATTATAGATTTTTTCGGAATATTTATTTATCGTATTTTATATTATTCTATTCCGGTAATTTTTCGACATTTTTCCGTGCAGACTTATTATTATTAGATGTCGTCTAATTAATTTAATGAGTCACGCTATTTTATAATTCGTCGTCAATTGTTTAATCGTTCGGGATCCTTCAGTACCATCGCGTCGTCGTAATCGAGTCATTTTTCCGAGCAAGTTTTAAGTTCAATACTCGGCCCATTTGCGAGTATTTATTCTTCGGCCCTGGATGGACTTAAGTTCTAGGCCTTTTTGCTAATTCATGTTCAGCCCAAATTCTATCGATTATTTTTGGCCCATGGTGGTAGTGTTTTCAACCCATTCCCTTTAAAATGCTTCGCCGTTTGGAATTATCATCTTGGCCCATAACCTTATTGTTTTGCTCGTGCTTAATAATTGAAATGGGGACAAGAAAATTTGTTAACTGAATCTCGGGAAACCGTTGACCAAAATCTCTCCCTAAATCTCTCGTTCGTCTCTCTTTCCCGTCTACATAAACCTGCGATCAGAGGCTTTACTCCTCTCATTTTTCGCTCAAGGGAAGAAGAAAATATAGTTCCCTGCAAACACCACAGTATCCCAAGTTCCCAACTACAGCAAGTTTCATCTCCTCATTTACACCCAAATCAACACCAGTGCACAGATCTTTATTTTCAACCAAAAATCGCTGACTGAACCAAAGTTTAAAATCGTGGACTTTAATTCATCAGCCTTTGACTGTCTGAGAAATCCATTACCGGTCAGAGAGGGCCTGAGTGCAAATCGATCGATTTTTAATCTGCAACCCAACTTCAGACCGAGTTCACCAATTGCCGATACCTCAAGTCGTTCCCTCGGAGCCGACGGCTCTCAAACCTTCACCGTCAAAGCCCGACGGACCCCGTCAGCCGCCGATATCTCGTCCGAGAAACCGAACCCCTGCTGGCGTTCGAGCGACGATCAACCTTCACCTCTGCCATCGACGAGAACTCGCAAGAAGCACTGCCGAGCAAACCCAGCATCTCCGTCAACCAGGTCGCGAGTCTTCCTTCTCGCTGGCATCTCAGCCACCCCGTACGGACGAGTAGCAGGCCCTCGTTGCACAGATTGTCCGACGACTTCAATCGCAGCAACCCATCGTGAATAGCCGTCGACGTCCGCCCGCCTCGCCGGGAGCCAGCCGCGGGCAGCAGTGAACAGTCACCGCCGAAGAATTTCGTCCCAGCCACCGTCGAGCCGCGACTAGCCACCCTCGCGAGCCCTTTGCCGGTGTACTCGAGCACCTCCGGCCGCGTTTGAATAGCCCCGTGTGCAGCACCGTCGGAGACTCCGCGAACAGCCGTGACCTGCCGAGGATAGCCAGGTGCCACCGGAGACGACACGCCGAGACCCGTCGAAACGCGAGCCGCCGGTTGCCGGAAGCCCTAGGTGGGTGCGTTGAGAAGGAATTGAGATTTCGAGAAATTAGGGAGAAGGTTGAGGGTGGCTGATCGATTCTTTGATTTTATTTGGGAAATTTCGTGTATGCTGTGAAGGAGAAGAGGAGAATTGGGAGCGGAAATTTGTGGATCTGCCAAAATGGATTTTGGGATCAAGAAGAAGAAATAAGGACGGGAAATAAAAGGAGAGAGAGAAATAAAAAGTGAGGATGGATTTGGGTTTTGGTGAATTGGGACCTTAGTGGTTTGGGCTAAAAAACTAAAAAGAATAAATGGTTAATAAGAGAGAATGAATGGGCCAATCTATATCTATATATATATATAAGAGGAAATTATATTACACCCTCCACCTTCAAATATGATTTATATTACATTTATATAACCATTATATTCTTATTTATATTTACCTAAGATGTGGACTAATATATGTAACCGTCTGTTAAGGAATTTTTGACAAATTAAATGCAATTGAGATCATTAATTGAGATTAAATATATACTTACCAAAACAATCGAACCAATATATATCCTCTCTCTCTCTCTCTCTCCAAAATCACCCCACCGCCCCACGTTCAACTCTCCCTTTCTGCAGGAAATCTCTCCTTCAATGGCGAAGACAAAAATCACCAGATCTACTCGAAAAAACACTAATTCGTCGATCCTCTGCAACAAGGCCACTATTGAAAAATCCTGTCAGGTAATTTCGGCTTCCTTTCGGCTCGTGAGTGGCGGGGTCATCGGACGGCCAACTTCAGCCAAGGGCGGTGGGAGCTCGCGCGATTTGTCGGGCACTAGCGGCGGAGGGTCGAACACTGACGGAGGTTGCACAAGGCGGCGTGACGAGTCGAAGGGTGTCCTCGTTTCGACCGGCAGTGTTCGCTTGACTCGGAGACGAGCAACTACGGCCGTGGGCTCGTCTCGGGAAGGCGGAGTCACAATACCACAATAGCCGACGACAATCCTACTTGTGAGCAGCGACGACATTTGAAGAGTTTTCGATGGGATTGTTTCCACTGTTTATTTTATGTTTTATGTATAGCTTATGCTTAGTATATTAGCAAATTTTTTTGTTGACGAATGTTTGTTTCGGTCGAATTGATTTTATTCAGTATATTATTAGTTTTTTGGGAGGAATGAGAATTGCTTATTTGTATCATTTTGTTTGTGTTCAGTTGATTTTTTGAGTCTATACTTTGTAGTTTTTTCTTGTTTTTATTGTTCAATGAAAATTGTATGGTTTATTTCCAGTATATTTTTAGTCATGTTTCACTGTTTTCCATTTTTTTTTCTCATGACATTAATAGGAAGACGTTCGACGGTATATTATCAGTATATTCTCGGTAAATTCTACCGTTAAAGATTTAAAGTCAGGGTTTATATTCAGTATATTTTCGGTATATTCTGAAAGGAGCAATGTTTAAAAAAAAAAACGATATATATATCCTTAAAAAACGATATATATACCATTAAAAATGATTAAAAAAATTATATATATACCATTAAAAAAACCGATACATATACCAATTAAAACTAAAAAAATCCATTTAATGAATGATCAAAGATAGAACAATAAATATAAAATAAAAAAATGAACATGGAAACATAATTCCGATCAACAAATATACCTCTCTATCTATTATATTTTTTTTCTTTTTTGTTCTTCTATTACATGAAAACCTGATTTTCCACTCCAAACACAATTATGGGATGCACATGTCGATCAGAACTGCTCATATTATTTTGGAGATATAAACATTCCATACATGAACCAGATTTTTTCTGTATTATGGTACATGTACAGTATATTTGCAGTATATGTTAAAGCAATATATATAGACAATGAAGATTTCGTGAAGTTTCGTACTCTTTGCCCGATTTTCTGAAATTACGCGCTAGGAACATAGAAGGTTGTTCCACTTACCTTGTAACTGATTTTAGGCATGAATATAATTAATATTTATCTTTTAGGTATATACACAATTTAATTGGTATGGATGGTCATATTGTAATTATCTAAAAATCGTGTAGCACAGGTCACAATTTCCCTATATATAATTGCTAGCTAAACAATAATTTTTTTCTAATAAATAAAACTTAATAAATTTTACCTATGTGGCAAATCATTAATAAAACCTAATAAATTTTATTTATGTGGCATTAATACACCCAATCTCATTAATAAGAAAATATTTTATTACATTTTTTTGGGTTAATTAGGACAAAAACCATTATATTTTATGTTAATTGATTAATAATTATATTTTTTATTGAATAATATAACAGTTAATATTAAAATTAGTAATTATATTTTATACTAAATAATATATGAAAGTTACATAAAATTATATTTTACACTAAAATCAATATTTTTTTATATGATGAAGCGGTTGTTTATTAATAAATTAATTTTTTTTATGTCATAGTAAAATTTCTTAAAATCACATAAGCAATTGTTATAACAAATGTAATATTTTTCAGCTAATTAATTGGTCATGATCACTCAAAATTATAAAAAGTATATATTTATTATATTTTATGCAATCAATATAGTAATTCGTATACAATCAAATCGTGTGTACTATTTATTTTAACCAATGATAAAATTTTAAAATATAATACTATTATATAATTTATAATTTTAATATTATATACATAAATATAACTTATAATACTATATGTTTGAAATATAATACAATTATATAACTTATAATTTTTATATTATATACATAAATATAACTTATAATATTTAATTTTATTTACATCTGTGCAAATGCACAGAGTCGAATACTAGTGAAGAAATAATGTGGACTTAATCAAAATGGGTACCGGAAGGAGCAATGATCCAACCCGTCAAAAATCCGAACCGTGTCTCCTTACTTGTCGATTCTCGAAGAGCGGTAATTATTCTTAATCGATGTTAATATTCTTTTAAGAATTTTACTTAGATTAATTTTAGGTATTTTGCTTAAGTGAGAATTTTCGTTAAATTTTTCGAGTTATCGAGATAATTTATTTAGAAAAAATTATCTTGATTAAATCTAGGTTCTTGAGGAGTCGAGCCTCAACAACCTACTGAGCTATTTGTGTGCTAATTTCCTGTTTAGTCAAACAGGTGGGTTATTCAAAATTTCCTATGCCTTAAATCCTTTATAAATGTGATGGTATGATCAATGTATGCATGTGAACCTGTAACCTTCGATGTGTGCGGTTTCGACCTTCGAACGGTTATCCCCGTCGTCGTGTGCGGTTTCAACCTTCGACGGAGCCTAATGACAGGTAGTCTCCCTAGCCTAATGATAGGCAAGGCCGATGTGAGTTGTATGTCCTTCGGTATTTTACTCTCATTGTTGTGTTCGGTTTCGACCTTCAATGGCTTTTATAGATGTGCACATGAGTATAAATGTATGATTAGGAGATGTGATAATTGAATGATTCGTGTTCATGCTGCGACCATACTTATCTGTCTTTATATATGATTTATTGCATAGTAGTGAGCACCACGGATTCCAACTGTGCTCATCCCCACCTGAATTAACATTTCAGGTTGAGCAGCGGCGAGCATGACGGCAAGATGACGAGTGGCTGGTCTTAATTATGTTTAAATTTGCTTCCGCTTTATTATGAATAAGTTGACCCGAATTTATGAACTTGATTGTTTTGGGTTATGAACATGTTGACTACTTTCAAGCTTATGTTTTGAAATGTTGGGGTTTATGGATTGTTTTGAAAACCCTATGACTTGGTGGTTTAGATATTCCTGATGAATGTGCTTTTTTAATATCATGTGAGTTGTTATATTTGAGTTAATGAAAACCATGTGAAAAACCGGGTAATGAATCCCCGTGAGGTTTCAAATATGACTTGAAACAAGATAATGCTCATGTTAAAGTTAATTTCGAAAAATGAATTTCGAAAATGTTATCTTGATTTTTCTGAAAGTCCAGAATTTCTTTGAAATCAAAAGTGGGGTGTTACATTTAATATCTTATATTAATTGAATGTGTGTTCAAAAGAAAACCTTAATTTGTTAGCAGCAAAAAACATTAGGCGCAGGAGTAAGTTTTAATTGAATTTTTTATTCTAAAATTGTTGGCATGCGTATGCTAGCACTCAACAGTATTTATTAAAGTTTATGAAATTTGCAATTAGGCCCTTATAATTTATCAAACTCTAAAAAATAGCCCTTGTGATTTTCCAACTCAATTTCTTGCAGATATATTTTTCTAACGGAATGTCTCTGACGCTGCGCGCTTGCCGCATCCGCTGCGGGTTGCCGGCGGGGTCCAGTCGCCGGATTGTGAGAAGAGGACGCCGGAGAGTCTGATTTTGAGTTCAATTTTTGACGAGGCTGAGCGTCTCCAGGTCGGGTTTAGCCATCATTGATCGATTAGGGGTTCGGCCATTAGAGTAAAGTCATCTCCGATCGTCTGCGGTTGGAAGCGGCGGTCGGCAGAGGTTGCCGAGTTGTCTGATATCAACTGGAGGTTGAAGTCTTCAAGCTCCACGGTGGAGGAGGGCGGTGGCGGCTGAGAAAGAAGATGGTTGATGGTTGACTTGCGGGCGACTGTCGGCGGTCACTGAATGGCAGGCTGCGGGTGGCGTACGGCAGGTGATGGCGGAGTATTGTTACCAGATGGTGGAGTGCACTTGTGTGTGTCGTGTGTGTTTTTGTGCATGTGCGTGAGAGAGTGAGGGGTGTGGGTGGGTGGTGTGGGTAGGGACGTTGGTTGTGGGTCACCTCATATATGGATTAAAATGTCCAAAATACCTTTAATGAAGGTATAAGTTTGGCTTTTTTTTAGCCATTAAATCATCCGATATAATGACTACGATGCATTCTTATTTCTTTCACTAAGCACCTTTCTCACTTGAACCCAACCCTATATATATAGGGTCGCGCTCCAGCGAGAATGGTAATAGATCGTAACCGTTGGATCCTATGATCAAACAACTTAGAAAAAAGTCAAAAATATACCTTCATTAAGGGCATTACAGTAATTATCTACACTACATTCAAACATATGGGCCCCATTCCACATTAAATAATCCTGCCACCTAACCCAACTACCCACCCAGGTGACCCACCCCAACCACACCTCTCTCTCTTACAT